TGCTAATGAGTTACAAACAAATACAATACCTTTATTGGCATAAAAGCTAATGAGTTCCTGCTGGGCGTGGCCAACTTGGGAGCCAGCCGGAACTCCGTTCCTGTGCGTCCCTGCCCCAAAATAGCCCTGATTATCAATAATATATAATAACAGATAATAACTGGTATTCAAGTACAACGCAACCCACTGGTACTGCTTCTACGTCTAGAGTTTGGTGTGAACTTACCTTTTCACATTAAAGAAACTTTGAGTCTCCTCCTGTTCAGCAGCTAAGTCAGCTATAGCTTCAAAGTGGAAAGATCCAGAGATTCCAAAATTGACATTATGGCATAATAAACTGTGGACACACTTTATTATGGCCAAGATTTCAGCTGATTTGGCACGTAAACCAGATGAAAAAATAAACCCTACTTTTATAGCCATTTGGAATCCTATTTTAGAATATTCTAAGAGTACAAGGAGAAATTCCAGAAATTGCAAAGACAATGCATTCGATATGATGTGTATATCGTTGGTAATAATACAAGCTCTGTTAACCCTCTCGACCTCTGGTTAATTACTCTACCTGAGAACTATTGTAATTCTAATTGTTATTCTATTCTAAGAATAATAATAAAAAAATTTAAAAATTTAAAAATGAAATATTTTACTCCGCCTAAGAATTTTTTGTTTTAAAGAGGCCTTGGAAACTGTGACAATAACAGTTTCTGTTGAAATACTGCAAGTCTGTTTTTAGAACAGGAACATTCGTAGGATAAAAAAATTATAAAGTAACACAGGGGCTGCTGAGATCAGTCTCTCTCCTCCTCCATAAGTTTCTGCTTCTACAGCTCTGTCTACTCAAGATTTGCGGTGGTCCCGGGTAGATTTTTGTCAAGATCACTCACTGTGCTAATTGATCCTGGAAGATCAATTATCCAGCTACTATAACTGTGACGATAACAAAGTGCTTAGGGATAGGGGGCGGGGGAGTTTAGTTCAAAGGAATTTATTTCTGGAAGGTGTTCACCATAAGTAGGTTAAAAGGGCAAAATAACCATTCTTATTCAACTTAGCGGATTTCAGACAGTAATGGTTCATTAATACTAGGATGGACTTAGTATTGGATGAAATGAAGGATACCAATGATACGCTGCCTTATGAACTTAGACCACAGATCCATGTAGCCCAATATTTACCCTGTCTATAGTTCCAGACAGAGAATATCTTCCACAGCAGCTGATATTGGAGGACCTTTTAACTGATGCCTGGGATTGAATCTGGGACCTTCTAAGTGCTCATAAAATTTTCTACCAACAAAGGAAACATTAGGTTCTTGCAAGGCATAAGAAGATAAGAAGAGCCCTGCTAGATCAGACCAGTGGTCCATCTAGGCCAGCATCCTCTCTCACACAGTGGCCAGCCAGTTCCTCTGGAGGGCCAACAACACGGCAGAGAGGCCCAAGGCCTTCATAAGAACATCAGGAGAGCCCTGCTGGATCAGACCAGTGGTCCATCTAGGCCAGCATCCTCTCTCACACAGTGGCCAGCCAGTTCCTCTGGAGGGCCAACAACACGGCAGAGAGGCCCAAGGCCTTCATAAGAACATCAGGAGAGCCCTGCTGGATCAGACCAGTGGTCCATCTAGGCCAGCATCCTCTCTCACACAGTGGCCAGCCAGTTCCTCTGGAGGGCCAACAACACGGCAGAGAGGCCCAAGGCCTTCATAAGAACATCAGGAGAGCCCTGCTGGATCAGACCAGTGGTCCATCTAGGCCAGCATCCTCTCTCACACAGTGGCCAGCCAGTTCCTCTGGAGGGCCAACAACACGGCAGAGAGGCCCAAGGCCTTCATAAGAACATCAGGAGAGCCCTGCTGGATCAGACCAGTGGTCCATCTAGGCCAGCATCCTCTCTCACACAGTGGCCAGCCAGTTCCTCTGGAGGGCCAACAACACGGCAGAGAGGCCCAAGGCCTTCATAAGAACATCAGGAGAGCCCTGCTGGATCAGACCAGTGGTCCATCTAGGCCAGCATCCTCTCTCACACAGTGGCCAGCCAGTTCCTCTGGAGGGCCAACAACACGGCAGAGAGGCCCAAGGCCTTCATAAGAACATCAGGAGAGCCCTGCTGGATCAGACCAGCAGTCCATTTAGTCCAGCATCCTGTCTCATACAGGGGCCAACCAGTTCCAGCAGCGGGGCATAGAGGCCAAAGGCCTTCCTAAGAACATCAGAAGAGCCCTGCTGGATCAGACCAGCGGTCCATCTAGTCCAGCATCTTGTCTCACACAGTGGCCAGCCAGTTCCTCTGGAGGGTCAACAACAGGGCAGAGAGGCCAAGGCCTTTCCCTCAAGTTGCCTCCTGGCCCTGGGATCCAGAGGTTTAGTGCCTCTGAATGTGGAAGTCCCCTTTAGTCGCCATGGCTAGCAGCCACGGATAGACCTCTCCTCCATGACTCTTCCAAAGCTATCTGTGCCTGTGTCCATCACTACGTCCTACAGCAGAAAATTCCACATTTTAATCATTCCTTGTGTAAAGAAGTATTTCCTTTCATCCGCCCTGAATCTACTGCCCATCCACTTCGTTGGATGCCCTCAAATGCAGGTATTTTGGGAGAGGGAGAAAAATTTCTCTTTGTCAACTCTCTTCGCCACAAGCATTATTGTATAAGCCTCTATCGTGTCCCCTCTTAGCCGTCTCTTCCAAAGTGAAAAGCCCCAGACTCTTCAGCCTCTCCTCAGAGGGAAGGTGCTCCAATCCCCCAAATCATCTTGGTTGCCCTCCTCTGTGCTTCTTCCAGCTCTGCAGTGTCCTTTTTGAGATGGAGTGACCAGAACGGCACACAGGATTCCACATGAGGCTGCTGCACCACAGACCTATATGGGGGCGTTACAGTAGGCAAAGCTCTACAATGCATAATGTTACCTATGTTGCAGGCCTTTACTTAATTTGTAAACGGTTCTGTCGTAGGCAAAGCTCTACAGTGCATAACGTTACCTATGCTGCAGGCCTCCTGGTTCGGTGCCTTTACTTAATTTGTAAACGGTTCTGTCCCGCCTTTCCCAGCACAGGCTAAAGATAGCTTGTAAACATTGCATCTAAATAGGGTTACCCAAATTAAAAGCATTACTAAGGACCAGTGCAAACCAATGCCTGCAAAAACATTCATGCCTCAGTAAAAATCATGGCAAACCAAACTGCCAATAAGTGGGGAAGGTGTCCTCCTCTCTTCTGGGAGCCTATTCTGTATGGTGGCAGCTCCCACTGGAAAGGAAAGGGCTCTGCTGGGAGACAAACAGGAAGAAGAAGGAGGAGGAGGAGGAGGGATTTATACCCCGCCCTTCACTACCCAAAGGTGTCTCAGAGCAGCTTACAAACTCCTTTCCCTTCCCCTCCCCAAAACAGACACCCTGTGAGGTAGGTGGGGCTGAGAGAGCTCTGACAGAAACTGCTCTTTTTTCAAGGATAGCTCTTTTCAGAACTATGGCTTGCCCAAGGTCATCCAGCAGCTGCAAGTGGAGGATTGGGGAATCAAACCCGGTTCTCCCAGATTAGAGTCCGCACACTTAACCACGACACCAAACTGGCTCCCAGTAGCAGAAAATATCTAGAAGCAACACCAAATATAAGTATTTGCTATATGTCTATTCATTCATTCATTCATCCATTCATTTATCCATTCAGTTGTCATCTCAACAACGGAAGTCTTATTTTCCTGTTTTATGTGCCGACTGAAACATACAAATGTGTTTTTAACCTTGGCGCTCGCAACATAAATCCAAACCTCTGATCTTACAAAAAAAAATATTAGAATTTCCTGGTGTGTTCGGGGGGTAGGACTAGGGTTGCCAGGTTTCCCCTGGCCACACCGGTGTGCCACAGGAGATGTCGGACAGCCACATGTGGCTCCTGAGCCACTGAGCCCCACAGCTTTAATGTCATTTCATGGGAAACAGCTCTGAAATTTAAACCCATGGTCCAAAATAGTCTGATCTGATTTTCATATCATCCCATCTTAGAAAGCAAGTAGGTGACAGTGGAAAATTTGAAAGTGCTAGCACCTATCCAATCTATTTACCTAATCTAATGCCTTATAAGGCAAAATGAACTCCAGGCCTATGCTAATGTGCCTGAAAAGCTGGATCTAGCCATTAATCTGGCAGGTTCAAGGTTGAAACTGGCAACAACAATATGCAAGGGGAAAAAGGTTGCCAGCTCCAGGTTGGGAAACTCCTGGAGATCTGTGGGTGGAAGCTGGGAGGACAGTGGGGTATAGTGCCATAAGAAGAGCCCTGCTGGATCAGACCAGTGAGGGTCCATCTAGTCCAGCCTCCTGTCTCACACAGGGGCCAACCAGTTCTACTGGAGGGCCAACAACAGAGCATAAAGGCCAAGGCCTTCAAAGGGACACCAGAAGTGCCCTGCTGGATCAGACCAGTGGTCCATCTAGCCCAGCATCCTGTCTCACACAGTGGCCAACCAGTTCCTCTGGAGGGCCAACAACGGGGCATAGAGGCCAAGACCTGAATAAGAACATAACAAGAACCCTGCTAGGTCAGACCAGTCAGGGTCCATCTAGTCCGGCATCCGGTCTCACACAGTGGCCAACCAGTTCCTCTGGAGGGCCAATAACATGGCATAGAGGCCAAGGCCTTCATAAGAACATAAGAAGAGCCCTGCTGAGTCAGACCAGTGGGGGTCCATTTGGTCCAGCATCCTGTCTCACACAGTGGCCAACCAGTTACTCTGGAGGGCCAACAACAGGGCATAAAAGCCACAGATTCCACCCACCAAAGCATCCCTTTTCTCCAGGGGAACTGATTTCTAGTCTAGAGATGAGCTGTAATTCTGGGAGATCCCCAGGTCCCACTGGAGACTGGCACCCGTACTTAGAACGCAAATGAGAAAACCCACTGGGCCAAACAACCCTGGCTCAAAACACACAGCCGGGACTCCTCCTGTTTGCTACCCAAGAGAAGTCAGGCTGTCCCCACGTGGACTACCGCTGGCCTGCTCACCTCTTCCCACTGGTGGATGTAGCGTATGAGCCTGGACAGCCTCAGGAGACGCAGGAGGCTGAGGATTTTGGTGAAGCGCACGATCCGCAGGGCGCGGGCCGTCTTGTAAACCTCCGAATCGATGCGGGTCTCCACGATCAGGAAAATGTAGTCGACCGGGATGGAGGAGATAAAATCCACCACGAACCAGCTCTTGAGGTACTTCATCTTGATCCGCTGCGGGTCGAGGATGATTTCCGTGTTGTCCTCCACCACGATCCCCGTGCGGAAGTTGAGGACCAGGTCGACGAGGAAGAACGTGTCCGAGACCACGTTGAAAACGATCCACGGCGTGGTGTTCTCGTCCTTGAAGAAGGTAATGCCCACGGGGATGATGATCAGGTTCCCGACCATGAGGAGCAGCATCGTCAAGTCCCAGTAAAACCTGGTCGGCAAAAGAAGAGGAATGGGAAATGAGCCCAGGAACAGCCCGCGTGATCGAATATCGTGGTTCGCAAACCTCTAAAGTGGGCCTCACTTCTAAACTTACTCTGCATTTCGAGGACTGAAAATAACTTTATACAGGGCTTTTTTTGTAGAAAAAGCCCAGCAGGAACTCATTAGTATAATAGGCCACACCCAACAGCAGAAACTCATTAGCATATTAGGCCACACCCCTGACAGCACAGCTCATTGGCATGTTAGGCCACACCCCCATGTTACCAGATGTGTGCTCATCCAGCCACACCCACCTTTTGCTTCTTATTCTGTTTACTTTGTTGTCAAAACCCAGGGCTTTTTTTTGTAGCAGGAACTCCTTTGCATGTTAGGCCACACACCCCTAATGTAGCCAATCCTAATGAGTTTCTGTTGTTGGGTGTGGCCTATTTTATGCTAATGAGTCCCTGCTGGGCGTAGACAATTCGGGAGCCAGCCGGAACTCCGTTCCTGTGCGTTCCTGCCCAAAAATAGCCCTGACTTTATAATACTTTCCCCCTCCTTGGCATAGATCAGGGGTGGCCAAACTGTGACACAGAAGCCACTTGAGGCTCTTTCACACATATTGTGCGGCTCCCGGCAAGGCAGCTGGGGAAGTGAAGGGGAGGGATGCCTCCCCCATCAGTCTTCCCTTCCCCAGCCAGTGTTCCCCTTCCTGGGTAGGCTTGAGGTGTGGGGGGGGGGGGCAGAGGAAGACAGAACGCTTTAA